AATGTAAACATATCCTTTTTTTTTTTTTTTTTTTTTTTTTAAAGTAATGTTGCTCTGCCTTTTTTTCCTAAGTCTAAATACAGTAGCTCTTTTTTGCCATTTAGTCATGCTTTAGCATAAATGTTCTTCTAAAGAACATTTAAAATAAAGTTTCTTATAGTGAAATAAAGTTTTTGTTTCATTTTACAGACAATAGCCACTAATGCTTTGCTTTGTTCATTTCTTTTTCTTTAGTTCATGCACATATCTCTTTGTTTTAATATATACAATATGTACAAACAATACATCCACACTCTTCTGGTTCATTCAGACAAAACTATACAAATAATAATTTTATCTTGCCAAGTTATTGACCCTTTGTGAATAAAATATTTAGTAATTAATCAATATATTCCCTTTCAAATATTTTTTTCTCATTTTCCAGTTCTACCTTCTATATATACAGAAACTGCCCAGATTTTGATGAAGTAGCCAAAATAAGAAATTTACTGGCCAATATGCAGCACCACTCTGATCTTTAGGTGGTATAAAACGTCCAGGCAACATATGTATGTGAGACTGCAAAATGACAAGAGGATTGACAAGTACTTAAGATAAAAAGCTACACGTTTTACAAATTATTTTAAGAACTTAATTGAAATAATAGTACATGAAAGTAAGGCTAGAAAATAAAGTGCTGAATATGAGAGAAAGTACATGACAATTGATATGTTTGCAGGTTCTAGTAAAAATACCAAAAAAACTTTTTAAAACTTGCTTAAGCTGCTCTCTCCATTCCTCATGCATTACCCGTTTATCTCATACACCAACCCCTTCTGTAAGTTCCCACGGGATGTATTAAAAACCTGCAGATTTAAAAAGTTGCATTAAGTGTGCTGTAGAGATTTAAATCAAACACAAAGGACAGAGGTGCGAAGGAAATGAGGATGCATGGACCCAATAAAGATGTACTGATCTAAGCCCCTCCACTGAGACTCTCAAAGCTTCAGTTTCTTGGAGATGACTGATAGGCGCAGGAACAGCATTCTTGCGTTGCTTGTGCATTCCCACCTTTTCTTAACAATATTTTTGGTATAATATTTGTACAGTTCCACATGTTGTTTAATACAGCCCTATATGAAAAGGATAATTAATCGCTTCTTCCTTCTCGGAGAATGAAGCAACTCGCAATTTCCTCCTGGTGTCTTTTGTTTTCCCCATGATCCAACAGAAGATTGAGTTCCAAGATGTCTTGCTGAACAAATTAAAAGTTGTCCATGAAAGTGCAAATGCAATGACCAAAACATTACTGTTAAAATCCTGCAGCTGGTATTTCCAGAACTGCAGTGGGTATTTTTGTTGTTGTTGTTGCATGTCTCTGCTAAAAACAGAAAATGAAAACAGTCTGAAAAGCAATGTCACATTGCTACGGGATGCTGCTGCGTATCTTCAAGTTCCTTGGCCTTTTTCAATTCTTTCACTCTGAAAAAACAAAGAGGAGCTATATAACACTTCTATTGCAAATCTCATTCCAGACAGAAAAATCAAAATGATTCCTCATTCTAACCTCCTGTGGAAAAGAGCCAGCTCCCAGAGAAATGACAGGAGGGTAATACATTCCTGACACCACAAACAGTTGGAAGCGCAAGAATGGGCTGCTAGAAATCCGAGACAAACACATTTGGAAGGATACACTTATTTCCAGCTACTGTTTCTTCCTGATATTTGTAACTACAGCTGGACTTCGTTCTGGTATCGGCCTATTTAATTGCTTGGAAGTTTTTTGGACTGCTGTTCATTACTGATTTTGCAGCTGCCTGCTAGTCCAGCTGTTCTGGCAAAGGGGCTTTTCAGCGTTGACCTCTTTTCTCCATACAACGCTGAAGCGGCAACAATTTGATGCTGTGCCCGGCACAGTAGGGGAAAAATCAGTCAGTCATACTTGCAAGGGAAGCTTGATGTTGATACAGAATCTCACATAAGAAAGTGTTTATATGCGAGTAGAAGGAACTGGTATGGGTGCGAAGAAAGATAATTTACTTCACACTTATTCCAGCTTCTAGTGGCTGTATTTTCTAGCATGCTGTTGGTAGTAGATTCATGTTTTTTCCCAGCCAGCAGTGGAGGACGCTGTGTGCCAAGGGAGATGAACCTACAACGTGGAAGAGTCACTATCCCTAGATGTGGCCTGATGCTTCAGTTCTCAGCTCTTTAAAATGCATGCAATACATTACCTCCTCTAGCACTTGTCAGCATAAGAACTAAATCATCACTGAAAGCTGAAATAATTAAAAATTAAATTAAAAGGATGAACAGAAGGGAATAATTTCAATCCCATCAAAGAAAGCTGAATTCTGCATCGGTGCTGGAGTAGCAGCAATCCTCTGCTCAGGCTGACAAACTGGCTGTGTATCAGTGAAGGCTCCCTGCAAAGGAGCCAAAACAAATCCACGGGGACTTCCCGTGCTGTCTCTAAACCCAAAGGCAGGTGCCCAGCTGAGCTTGTGGCAGCTTAGCTCTGCCTCCTTTTGCAGGGAGCTCCTTTCCGCAGTGCAATTCCTTTGCCACTTGCCTCCACGTGTCTTTCCTCTGCTACTGCGAGGGGAGGACCACCCCAAAAAGGAGTAGAACACCGCCTAAATTAAGTGATTTAGCAAAGCATGTACATGCCCAACTGATGTAGCAAAAACTTGAAAGGACAAATAACAAAGGTATGGTACGAAGAATTGTGTCAGAGCTGCAAGTGTGTAACCGAATCCAACTAAGAGGGAATGGATTTAACAAAGCCTGAGTAAATACAGATAGTAAAAGGTGTTGGGAGAGCTAAGCAGCAGCAATGCCAGTCTGTCACTTCTGCACGTAGACTTCCACTCACACATCCTCTTTTGGCTCTCGCACCAGCCTGCTAATAGAAGGATACAATGAAGGCTATAAACTGACCTCTATAAATACACCTCCATTTCACCATTTATTAACTTTTCTGCACGTACTATTACTCAGAATCACAGTCAAAAGGGAGCTAGCTGCTTTTAACTCTTTGTTTTTTCTGACTCAAAGCTCTAGCACTCATAGGCGTTCTCTTCGTTTGTGAAACTGGGGGAAACAGGAGTCAATGAGTAAATCACACTAACCAATATGCAGGTCTGACCTTTGCTAATTACCTTAATTCCACCAAACTGTTTGAGAATATCACATATGGAAAGACAGAGGGCTCTGCCAATCCAAACGCACGTGCTGTTTTCAGAGCCTGAAGACTTAACATCCAAGGGGCCACGGCACTCCTCTGAAATCCGAGTGCGGCAGAGGGGTGCCTCAGTACAGCTCTCCCAGATGCCAAGTGCTCTGATCCCCAGGCTGAGGAAGGGGCAAGGCAGCAAGTGGCACCACCAGTTCTGAATTCCTACTTGGGTAGTGCTGTACTGAGTCTAAATGCCTGCTACAACTTCACAGAGACATTTTCTACAGGAAAATTTTGGCTCTATGCAAGCTGGTGTCTAAAAGACCCTGCTGACATCAGGGGAGTGGGGGCTTCAGCACTGCACAGAAGGCAGCAGCAAGCCTCTGCTCGTCCCCAGTGGGTGATGATGTATTATGGTGCTACCTGCTGGGTAAGTCCAGATCATCTTTTCATTATAGGAAACAGGAAGACTGGTACAGTGAACTGAAAATGCTCACAAATGACAAATTGACCGTCTTCAGTATATTTAGTTTTCTTTCTTTTCTTGCAGCAGAAAAGCAGCCTCTCCCTTGAAAGTATTACTAGTATTTCTACTACTGCACCGCTTAGAAGCGGGTGAGCCAAGATCACTGCTGTGCTAGAAAAATGTGGTGTGCCTCTGTGCACTAGACAATTTTTAAGGCTTACATTAACTACATTCAAGAAACCATCTATTAATACATGATCTGCAGTGCAACTTCCAAATGTTTTCTGTTGCACTTCAGTACTGTAATGTAAGATTAACCTGTTATTATAGATCTCTTGCTGAGAACATGCACATTAGATAAGCTGGTGGCTCTTTCACTGAGACATGCTATACCTTAGTTTAGCACTTCAACATGCAAGGACTACACTAACAAAGCACTTTTGCTGGAAGAATGCAAGACATGCTTTGCTGCAAACTTCAACCTACAGCATGCAGTATCTGTACTGGTGCAGACCTATTGAATCTGTTTAACAGGAACACACATGCCAATGGAAGTTAATTACTACAGCACTCAACATTTGCACTAGTACAGATCCTATTCAGAAATATGCACCACTTTTCCTTGGTCAAGTGTACTTTACATTGGTTTACAGATTCTCAGGCTTATAAAAATGTTGTGAGTGCAACAATAATTACTGCTTAAAAACACAAGCACACACTAGTACAGAATTTCCCTACGGCAAAGTTACAGACTTTGAAATTTGTCATGGGTACTTTACTGCAAGATGCTGTTTAGTATGTAATGGCTTAAAACAAACCCTGCATTCCACAGCATTTATAAACTTAAGCTTCGAGATGATGACCATCCAACTTTATTAAGCTACCACATTTTTTTACTTCAACTAACCTCTGTGTTCAGTATACTTAATTGTGCATGTGTTACATTAAAAATGGGAGTGCAGGTAGGTACTACAAGTCCTTTATTTGTGTAATACAGTGCCCGGTAGGTATGAAGACCTGCAGTCTGCAGCTGGCAAGCTCTCCTCGTCGCTCAGAAGAGCTGGCACTGAGGCCAGAGAAGTTCTCCCCTCTCCTGGCAGCAGGCTCGAGGCAGCCCTGCTCAGCTGTGGGATCTGCAGCATAGCACAGCCAGAGTGGAACTGAAATACCTCTAACTGCTACCAATAATTGAGCAAATCCATGGCCAGACCGACACTTGAGAAGCACTGAAGTGTTGTTGTGAATGCCCTGCTTCTTCCCCAAACCAGGGCTAAACATGAAGTGCCAGAACCACTGTACGCATCAAGCTAGATACCAGACCAAGGTAATCCATTTACTTCATCATTTAAACTAACTGTTCTTAAACAAGCCTCTGAATTGCTTTATCAAGAGAACCTAAAACTAAGTGTTTTCAACCAATTAATTCTTTATTGGATAGTCTGTACCGCAGCCTTTCCTGTGTCTTAAAAGTCCTTTTAGTTCTCATTTAACACTTTTCTTTTTGAGTAAGTTCCTTACTCAGTGATACTTTGATTTGATTTTGTTACAACAATGTGAAGTGTCAACATGAGTGTGGGGCTGGTATTTCCTCTTCATTAATGCTCGGTGTAATAAACCCTCTAAATTTTCAAATGCAGTTAAAAATACAGTTTGATCAGGGAAGAATTTTGGACAAATTAGGACCCTTGAAAATAGAAATCCACTGAGTAAGTGCCACTAGGAGAGCTTTTAAGTGAACAATATAGTATTGCCTTCATGCTAGAAGGCAACCTTCTTTTGTTCTTGTTTTTCCGCTTTTAAATTCAGGCAGGGGAAGAGGGCCAAAGTGTAGCATTTCCAGTTACAAGCATTAATAAACTGCTCTAAGAAGAACACCACTACTGGAATTTATACAATGGTACAGCAGAAAGGATGTTCTTAGAGAAGAGGTTTCAATCCAGTTTGGTAGACTTACAGTGAGACTTGTTTTTTTCCCCTTTAAATAACAGAAAAAATGAGAGCCCTGAGAGCAAGTAATACCAGCAGGCCACGTGCTGATGGATGGTGCGCAAACCTCTCCAGAGGTCTACAGGCACAGGCATGCTGGTTTGGATCACTTCTGGAAGTGCCTCCAGCTGCATGGGGACTGGAGGTAAGGACAGTTCAAGTGACACACGGCTGCAAGCCAGAGTGCACCAGGGTAACAGGCTCTGGCTGTGGCAAGACTCCAAACAAGAAGTACCATCCTACTTCAGCAGCCACTGAAACCATGCACAGAATTGCAAGGACCATAAATTTGGCTTTGCACTGATGAAACCTTCAACAAAAACCTCCTCAAATTACATTTCCTCCAGACAGTAAGCACCTCTAAGGTACAAAGTCATTCGCCTCTAAGGTACAAAGTCATTCCCTCAGCAATTGCTGAAGAGCAGATGGACAGAAAAAAGCACGTGCAATAGAGATGACCACTGATAAGGTGTGTGAATCATAGCCGTGGTGCTGACGCACTGCAAGGGAAAAGATGATTTCAACTGTGAGCTTTGAACCCTGACACTCGGGAGCTATGTCCCGGTTCCCAGATTGCTCCAGCCAGACAAAGCTTCTGCCCTTCAAACTGTTACTTACTTGGACACCATACAGGAGGTTGCATCATTACGTGCTGAAGCGATGTAGAAAGCAACAGCCCCAGAAGCGAGCAGCAGCTCCTCTCCCCACACGCCCTCCCCAGTCTTGTATGGGAGTATGTCAGCAAATGAATTAGGCCTACTTAGAAAAAGTTACAGCAAACGATGGCTTCATGGGTAAAGCGTAACACAAAGCTGCTTCATCAAATTTACTCCATAATGCCCAGCCAGGGAAATGTTTAATGAATCTGAATGCTGACGATCAGTAAAAAGGACAGGGTGCAGGAGCCAGAGAAGGCTGTCTGGCGAGTTACCTGTTGCTCTGACAGCTGAAATGGCCTGTGGGACATTTAAGAAAGGGGAGCTCTTGCCTTTTTCCAGATATCTCATTTGGGCAGCAAAACAAAAAAGACAGAAAGGCCCAATAAGAATGACACCCCAGAGCACGCGGTCTGCGATTTAACACATACATTTGAGCTCCAAATACATTCAGCCCCTGCAAGAGGTAAATTAAAAAAGAAATTACTTTGAAAACTTTTGTTGCAGGTACAGTGACGCATATCCCAATATGACATTTTCTCACATCGTCCTGAACTTGAACAAACAGGACTTTTCAACTCCTTAAAATTTTCCCCCATTCTCAATCTTCCTAAGAGACGTAAGAACCCGGGTACTTAAATGCAATGTCTGCTGCATAGCACATATTAAAAACACACAAAAAATACAAGTCCTAGGTGCACAGGAGTAGGAAAGGATTTGCTGCTGAAACGCCATAAGAGGGAAGGGTATGCAAAGAACAACAAAATAGAGTAGATGATGTTTATTCAGGTATGAAATAAAGTTGTACTTACCCAGAGGAACTGACTTCAGGTGTCACATGCACGCTCCCCAAACCAGAGAGCAGCATTTAATCAAACCATAAGAAATAGGGTGGGGATAAGGGGATCTATTTTTAAATGAAAGATGCCATGAATGAATACATTCTTTATTACTCATGATCACAGATAACAAGTGCACTTGCTCTGCCCCAGAGAGGACAGAAGTTTCGCTGTAGGCAGAAAGTGATCAGCTACTCTAATGATGTGAAAAGACTTGCTCCTTGTGATCTGCTCCAGATCACCTGCCTACCAAGAGCACGGCAGATAGGCTCACAGTTCAAGCAGTCGTGTATTTTTGTTCATGTCCTATATCTGGACTTCAAGCAAAGCTCTCCTTCACAGGAGGCTACAGTGGATGGTTTAACCGATGAGCAGGGAAACATTTGTGTAGCAGGCACTGTGATTAGCTGAAATCTGTCCACTGGAACGGGTTCCCCTGAGATGAAAACTATTACTTAAAAGCAATAGTAACTGGATTTCCCTCCCTAGAAAGTCTTTTAATTTCTACTGCAGAAAGATAGCAGGTTTTGTCTCACATAAGTTGGTCAATAAAATCTCCCAGTTCTCCCTCTTTACTGATCCTGGTGTAATGTAACCCAAATAAATCCAGAAAAATTAATGAAATAAATTTGAAAAGAGGACATGGAGGCAAATGCTGTGATCATTTATCTGCACATGCAGACTACATAAGCGCAGTGTCAGTGTACAGAATACATCCAATTTGTATATTACAGACATGTTTGCACGCATCCTTCACCATATATGGACATGTCAGCTTGTGCACATCGGAAGGTCACAACTTGTTTTTTCCAGATAAGCAGAGAACTCTCCAATTTCCCCGATCAATCCCATATCACTTGCCATTCAAGGCAAAACCTGCAAATGCTACTAAACTTCCAGAATCTGCTTCCTGCTAATTTCTCATACGCTGTTACATACACAAAGCCTTAAAGTGCAACAACTATTTCTCCTCCAATACTGATGACCAGCCTCTCAGCTGCACCTGGAGCAAAATCACCATACAGCATCTGCAGAGCGTGCCCTCAGGGGTGGCTTCCCCAGCTTTGCTCAAGTCCAGGGAGCTGTGCGCTAGCTGTGGACCTGGACCCCGCACTTGCTCCTCTTTACAGTCCCCTCTACTAGTGCACTGACCACGCAACACAGGTCAATTTTAGTCTATCTTGAGATTGCAGCATCCATCTGCTCTCTCAGGTAGGAATCCTAGTGTTGAATGGAAAAGCACAATAGCACAATTGCTTTATTATTCTATGTTCAAGTTGTATTCTTTTCAGTTTTGAATCCAACTGGCCCACTTTGGTATGCACATTTTAAGTTTAAGTTATTTTTCTTATTCATAGAACAAAGGTCTTAAAACATATCCCCTCCTGTCTGGCATGCAAAGGTTACACACAGTGCTGCTAGGGGAGAACGCAGCACAGCTTCCAGCCTGTGCCATTCCCAGGGCTGCAGAGTGCACTGAGCAGGGGCGTTCTGTGGGCAGCCCAAGCCTGTGGACACCAGGGCAGACAGAAGTGCCAGAGAGCAGGGCACAGCAGGAACTGTGCTGGCATGCCTGCGCGCAGCCAGCCAAATCAGTTAAGCAGGAATTCTCTGGAGGGGAGGAAGACTAAGAAGAAAGCACCAAAACTGCAAAAATAGGAGTGGCTGGAGGCAGGAATGTATTTTGAGCATACCAGCATCTAGCTGCAGACATGCAAGCTAGTCCTTTTTCTTACACAGTGTGGGACATGGTCCACGGCTACCCAGACAAAACCAGGAAAGACTGGGAGACTCCCAATTATCTCCAGGTAGCGTTAGAGAACAGGCCTCACCAGTAAGCCCCCTGCCGCAGAATGAGTCTGAGGCAGTGCAGGGAGAAAAACATTTGCTCTGTCTCTTCCTGCAACTCCCATCTCGCACCAGTTTCTTCCAATTCTGCTGCTTTTGAAAGGGCTTCACACTCTCGACAGAACTGTAGCATTCGGCTTTTGCTCAGAGAAAAGACAGAGCGGGTGCATCCACCGTTCTGGTTGGCACGGGCCCTGCAGCTCAGCCTTCTCTGTCCCACGACCCAAAGTGTTTTTGGTGGCTGCAAGGCTGGCTCCACACTTGCACACCACAGAGTTCAAGGGTTCCTGACGCAACAGACACATGCTTCATGGCGGGGACTGAGGAGCTGCAGCTCCTTGTTCAGGCCCATCTCGGGGCAGGAGGAAGGAGGTCGGGACACTGCCTGCCAGGGAGGGAAGGCGTGCTGTTGAGCTAGCCCCAGGCCCAGCCAGCTCTGCCCTGCAGCGTACTGCTCTATTGGCTGCTAAATAAAATGTTGTCATTTGTCTGCAGCATTCATTACTGTCCCATGGATATGGTAACTGACCCCAAGATTAAAGATGGTTAAACTTGCCAATGTTTTTTCACATAAAAGCAGACACTTATTTATGTCCTTACAACAGAAGGTTGAATTATCTAATCAGAATGACTTTTTTTTTTTTTAAAGTTCCTTACAGTGAATTTTATTTTTCAAAAACAAATTGTTTTTTTCTTCAAGAGGCTTTTGAAACCAGACACCCAACTGTAGACCAAAAATTACCAGCCCTAGTTATAATCAAAGCATCAGATTAGTAAAAACAAGTCACCCAGTCAGTCCACCATTATAAGAATACAAGCTATTTTTACACGGTTCTTGAATTAACCTGTGTTAGTTGTAAAGCACATTACCATACATGCTGAGACCTGGAGCTATAGTTTTCCAGCTAACACCTTCAGTGTTGGTGTCTCTGCAATCAGGAGTAATGATTCTCTTCCTCCATCAGGGCAAGAGCCATGAAAGCAGCACTTAAACAGTTAAGGCACATCTGGGCCTTTGTCCCCATTTCATCCATTTCTTACTTCATTTGTCATTAGTAAAGAACCCAAATTGTTACTTGTAAAAAACTGAGGGTACGCAACAAAAAATGGTAGCACAATAGTCATCGTTTGGAAAGAAATGTCATTAGCTATTGCTTCTTTGTTAGGCTCAATAGTTAAACAAATAACAATGCCTCCAGCAGGCTTAAGCCCAATTCATACTCTCACTCCTAAGTCATAAAAATCATCTCTGCAATTCAAAGTCAGTAAAACGCCATAATCAACAATTCAGTTTTCTTTTCTGAATGTCATGTGGGTCACCCCTCCCTCTGCCTCTCCTCCCTTGTTGAAGGGACTAGTAATAAGCACACAAATGGTATTATTTCCAACTGCAGTTTTTGACAAAAACCCTGCTGTCCTACAACCTCTCAAATGCAAGATGGTACTGAGCAGTCAGGCTGACAACTCAGGCATGTGCCTTGAAAGCCACAGTGTTCCCTGCTTGTACAGGGACTGTGACCTGCTATGGGAACGCTTTGGCATATTCCCACCCTGCTGTCGGGTAGCAGACCAGCCTGCTAATGTGACTGAGCACAAAGGTGAGAGTGAGACTCCCAACAGAAGCTCACTTGGCACTTACTATAACGCAGTTATAGCGTCTTCATCTTCATTTCAGGTTTTTTGTCTTCCTTCCCACTATGTAGATTAACAGCTGAGAGAAGCAGTTGTCAAAAAGCTGGCCCTAGTAAGGTAACCAGACGTGTAACTTACTGAAGACCAACTTCTAGAAGATAAGCATTGGTGCTTAACCACCTTAAGGAATAAAAAGCAGTGTGAAGAGCTCTTCTGCTTCTCTCTGGCTCGGGCAGAAACAAATACCCGTCTAGAGTAGGCTGCATCTGTACTGCAGCTTCCTACAATCTAGCCTGAACACTGCCGCAGTCCCATGACAAAGGACATCGTTACTCATTGACTGTGTGTGAGTGCAGACCCCGTCAAGTTCCAAAATCTACTAACAGCCATTTTGGATACTGAAAAAATATCCCACCAACAACGCCACCTAAGCATGCCCATGATGAATATACATGTCCTTTTTCACACATTCATGCATTGGTAACATCTACTGCAGAGCTCTGTCCTGTTATAAAAGCAGCAGTGTTAGTCATTGCAGTAGGGTTAGTTTATAAGGATTCTGTTTTATATAATTAATGGAGGTGAAACTTACTGGCATATCTCGACTGCAGCCCCATGCAAGCAAGCAGAAAGCAAAAATATTTAAAATGGAAGAGAGGAACTGGCTAGCAGGCAGCTACACTCACCCTTTTGTACAGCCTATGGTCCACCAGTGGGCTTCAGATTGCAAAACAATACCAAAGAGCTATTAGCACACACATGGCAATAACCGTACCTTACCAAGAGCTTCACTTCAGTGAGGAGGAGACAACACTTCTGCTTGCCTGGAGAGAAAGAACCCTTCCCACTCCTGCCTACCGGACTCCTCCTCTTTACCAGAGAAGAGCAGTCCCGTGTTTAGGTGTTTTAGGGCAGGAAGCAATAAGCAAGTAAAGTAAACCTGATACTGTCATCCTTGTGGCACTTCTAGCTGTATCCTGCCTTCTCTTGCAGCAATCGTCTGCTTTCTATCTCATTCCAAATGCTACTCCATAAAAACCACTGCAGATCATAATCACAGCCTAGCAATGGTGTGGATACCTCTCAGAAGAGTAACATTTTCCTAAGAATTGGAGAAAGAATAGGAAATAGGGGGTTACCTTCCCAGTGAAAGCTGACTGTATGGACCATATATGGATTCAGCTCAGCAAACCCAAACCCACTTCGGAGCTCTTGGATCTCCTTGCAGCTCTAGATATGTCATATCTGGGGATCCCTGAGTAGGTGGAGTCTTTCCAAAACCACTGAATATGCAAACCCTTAATTCTGCCTCACACAGGACAGTGTGCTGGGAGACAGCTCAACTCACAGTTGGTGTAATGGCAAGTTTTCGGTTGAAAGTTAGTCAAGGGCCAGTTGACAGGTCCGGGCACCATGGGAAGATGGGCAAAGCTCTCCTGGGAGGCCAGGAAGTTTCTGTTTCTCATTCTCAAACAACACTTCTGTGACAAGTCATGTTGATACCATGTTATGGCTGATGCATGTTTTTCACCAGATTTTTGACAATATGACAATAGATGGATAAATAAGGTTTTTTTTTCCCAAAGTCAAAAGGAAACAAGACATGTCTGACCGTCAGAATGACTGCTGCTGATGAATGACCACTTTTGTCTCCATGACACCTGACAATATTCAGCTACTAGAGCTCCCGTATCTTCTCTAAGAATACATTTGACCAAAACTTACATTTCTTTTCTGATTTTCATTGACGTCTATGCATGCATTACTGAGAGAGCTCCAACTGCAGAACTTCTCTCGTTAACTCTCACAAAACATCTGAAATACTGTCTGATCAGGCAACAAGCGTAAGTTCAGGAGAGAGAAAACACAAGACCAACATGCCTATGCACCCTGGATCCTCAAGCTGATAGGAATCATGTTTGCGCTACTGAGCCTTTGCGCCAAAAAGCTAATAGGCAAAATAGGACAAGACAACCATTTAAGCTGTTCTGAATGCTAGCAGAGAAAGAGTTCTCATCATTGGCTTAAAGTACACTTTGATCAATTTAAAATAGGAAAAAAACAACCAACCGCATGGTTGCCAGGGGAAAGCCTGAGTAAAGCTTGCCTAAAGGCTACAGAATAAGCTCTTAAGAGCCATTTATTGGCCCAGCAACAGAATCTGCTTGTGGACAAAAACCTAGGTTAAACAGTTTCATTTTTTTTAAGGTTTAATTTCTGAACTTCAAGAATTTACTGCCTTTTCACTTAGCTCACTATCCTTACGACAGACTGCAAGTGGCTTTTACAGCCTCCTCCCCTACCTCTGTCTATCAGCTGACAGAAATCTGCTACAAGATCCTGTTTCTTTGATGTTCCTGTGCATGCTCTCTTTTCTCTCACTCTCTCAGATTTTCCCAAAATATCTGTCATTTCTATCCCTTGTACTGACAAGGCACTGTGGTTTAACAAGCGGCTCCATAGTGCCATTTTTTCACTACAAAGCATTAAATAACATTAGTTGTTCATTGTTATGGCTTGCCCCTGGGTGTTCAGGAGCTTGGATGGCTGAAATATTTCTTTACAGAGCCTGGGGCTTTCTTGATTTCTTGTTTATAGCAGCAGTGTGCTAATTTTGAGCATTTCAAGAGGAGTCTGTGATGGGATTCCAACAAGGAGTACTCCTGAAACAGTGTGTGGGGCTGTTAGCCTAAGTACCAGTCACATCATCATCAGCGGTATCCTGTGCGAGCGTTACACGGGATGCACAGCAGACTGAATGGATATAATTAGGAGGCTTATATAGAGATGGTTTTAAACTCACTTAACATCCTAAGTTTTATTACTCTATCCTTAGAAAAAGGTAAGCAACAGAAGTCAAGCAGTGAGGAATAAATGCAATTACTAAGACATAGAAAAGAAAATTCAGAAAGCTTGAAGAAGAGCAGATGAGAAGGAAGCAATTCCTTCATCTTCCACCTGGTACCCCAGTGTACATGCACCATGAACAGGGCAGCTCAGAAAGGGGGCTGCTGAGCCAAGCTTGGGAAGGAATGAATGCGGGTGGTCTCACCAGGATATGGCTGGGGGGGGGGGGGGGGGTATGGCTGTGCTGGGGAAAGCGCATAGATCTCCCCCTTGGGGCAGGGGGGGCGAGGAAGCAAATGGGTCAGCCTGAGTCAGCTGAGATGCTGAAGCAAGTGAAGCTCTGTTTTAGTAAGTAGATCTGTATCATTTCCAGTATTATGCTTTGCCCTTGCAGCTGTTTGCTGTTTACAGAGACTTCAATCTGTTTGTCTCCAAAATCCTGTGTGGTAATAAAGCTCTAAGCTCTAAATTTGTGTGTTGTTCTTCAGTGAGCACAAGCAAGCATGGGGACCAGACCTCTCTGTAAGGTACCAGCAGCCAGGAGAGTCTGAGGGTCCGTGAGATACTCCCGCAGTGTGATCCCAGGATCACAGATGCAGCCTAAGTGCACAGAGCACAAAGTGTTTTGGAAAATGATAGATCTCCCCCTTGGGGCAGGGGGGGCGAGGAAGCAAATGGGTCAGCCTGAGTCAGCTGAGATGCTGAAGCAAGTGAAGCTCTGTTTTAGTAAGTAGATCTGTATCATTTCCAGTATTATGCTTTGCCCTTGCAGCTGTTTACACAAGCAGGAGACTTCAATCTGTTTGTCTCCAAAATCCTGTGTGGTAATAAAGCTCTAAGAACCTGATTTGTGTGTTGTTCTTCAGTGAGCACAAGCAAGCATGGGGACCAGACCTCTCTGTAAGGTACCAGCAGCCAGGAGAGTCTGAGGGTCCGTGAGATACTCCCGCAGTGTGATCCCAGGATCACAGATGCAGCCTAAGTGCACAGAGCACAAAGTGTTTTGGAAAATGTCTTTCTTCGCAACTGCTTGCTAGAACTTTTTTGGCAAGCAGGAGGAATACAGGGAAAAAGGTCCAAACTCGTCACATTTCTAAACAGTTCTGTAAATCTAGTAGGCTGGTAAATGTATGCCTTTTTCAAGTAGCTTCTAAATGCTGATTTTGTCATTTTGGTAAGCCTTGCTTTTATTTTTAGCATTTGCCAATGCCAGAATGCTCCTGGTTAAAATTTGTGTCAATTATTAGTATTAGCCACACTAACAATTTTAAATCCTTATGATTGCTTGGAGAAAGTACATGACCATGAATGTGTGATCGTTTTTATTTCAGAGGGAAAAGCAAGGCAGTTTTGAAACACAGTTAACATCTTCAGTGGAAATGTTACTTTTTTCTTTTGTTGCATCCTAGCCAAGAACCACGGACAAATTCCCAAGTAACCACAACGGCTAACAAAGTGCCTATGGACACAGACAGGACTGCATCGTTGCAGAAATTCAAGTACTGCACAGTGTGACATAAGCCAGAGAGAGCCTACTGACAATGGATCCCCCCCCTGCTTCTTTTTATTTCCTGTCTATAAATACCCAAGACCTAAACCTGTCTCCCAGAGATGCACAGCAGCAGCGACGACGCTGCTGAAGAGAGAAGAGGTTGACTACAGGCAAAGGGAAGGGTCTTGCCTGCAAACTTCAGTGATGCAAATGAGTAGGGTCTCACTCTACAAAGGAAACAGGAGATGCTGAGAAAGAGGAAGGCAACGAGCTGAAGACAAGAACAACTGCTGGATTCATGGGCAATTTAAGCCCTGGAGAGTCTAGGTTACTCGACAGCTGGAGACTTAACTGAGTGTGGCTGAAGTGCATGGCGCATCCTGGACATCAGTGGGAAACCCAGTGATACAGCTAGTCGTGAGGTATTCTCTGGGCTTGTGTGTGAGAGTCACCTGTTAAGAGCTGCTGGCAGGTTGACCCCGGAGCCTCCACGGATGGAAGCGGGCACGTGGCTTCCCCAGGGACTGCCTGGATCTCAAACAGATCTGAGAGGATACAGAAGTTCTGAGCCTTCGCCTGCTTCAGCAGGACATGCTGCCCAACAAACACAACAAAACAAACCTTTTGGTCTCTTCCACATGCCCTGCTGAGAGCAAGAAGCCACTTGTGCTTCTTCATGAAGAACTGTGGCTGTTTCAAGTGCATTTGGAATTGGCCTGGAAACTATAAAGCCCTCTTTCTTGTCCACACATGTTACTTCCCACTGAACCGGCAGGTAAGATGTCCTTCCACAACATGAGCTACGCTGACCTCCTGCAAACTGCAGCTCTGAAATCCTACAAAAAGGACCGAGTCTGTTTCTAAAATCAATTTTATCACATGCCCCTCTGCCTCTCAGAGCTCTCCTTGTTCAAACATCACTGGGCTGAACTAGATATGCTTCATCAGGTCTGACCAGCTCCTGAGCAGATGAAATGCATGTGTGGTGAGAATGGAGGGAGCAGAGTCAGAAACATCTGAATTCACTTTTGTCTAGGCAAAGTTCCAGTGTGCAACCTGATCATATATGGGATCCTTTCATTGAAAAAAATCAAAACAAACACCCTGCATGTAGCAGAGTACTAGTATGGTAGCGCCAGCTGCCATATGTGAGCACTTTGGCAAGCCTGCACAGGTCCCCATGCTGGCAGGAGATGATTCATCTTCATGTCTGTGTCTGTACTCCCAGCTTACTGAGGTATGTGTGGAGTGGCTGACGTGAACTAACTTGTCTGCTGCTGTTGGCACATTCCACCTATCCACACTAAAAAGAACCCGTATTTGATGAGAATTTACCAAATGATCCTGTGACCAAACTAAAGGCTACACCAGATGTTGTCACATTTTGCACTTTCCCACATACCATGAATGCTTTGTGCAGCACTTACAAGCTGTAGCTATGATTCAGTAAGCTTTTTTTCAGACTTCCTCAAGTCCAACTTTTAAAGTCATGTGCCTTGCTTTGCTCAAAGTTTCCTTGTTCTGTGTCTGCCCAACACAACCTGGGCTCCAGCAATGGAGCTGAACATAATTCTTTCAGCAACAGTCCTAATTTAAGACATTTCATTTTTGTCAGTGTATCTTGGAAGCAGCTGGGCTTCGTTATTTGATTAAAAGATCTGTAGTGAGCTGATTCTATTACCCTTTACATTGCACTCATTGCTGACACACTTGAATATTGTTGCATTGCTCTAATGAAGGGCAGATACCAAAAGACAGCGTCATACCTGTGGCGGCAGCGTCGTAAAAACCGCATAATCTTGCGAGCAGCTTGATCCTGCTTCTTAGTAAGCAGACTGCTTCTAAACACAAAAAAAACCAACAATGAAGTAGGCAAAACTGGGGAGAATAATACTAAATGCAAGAATAATTATCCTATGAACCACTGTCCTTTTCTCAGTGGCCTTTATCTGTAAACTACAGCACAGCCCTGATGAGTGTACAGGCAATATACAAAGATCCTGGTAGCATCTAACATCCCAATGGCTCACCTGAGTTTCTGTTGTACAATGGTGGCTGCCCGACGGTTTTGCCTCCTCTTCCCACATTCTTTGTAGCTGCGATAGTACTGCTGGATCAGCATCGCAGCTCGTCGGCTCTGCTGGAATTTTTTCTGCTCATAATAACTTCGGAATTTGCTCTGGATAAGAATGGCAGCTTGCGTCATCTTTTTATAAAGTGCATACTACAAGAGAAACAAAGAGAAGCTGAGGCATTCCAATAAAACCAGCGAGAAGCAGGTTCCTAGGGCAGAATACTCTTCTGCCACTAAGACATGATGAGAAGCAAATGATTATCTGCTCGCTGATTGGGAACTGTATGAGAAAATGGTGACAGCAAACTGGAACAACTGTGAGATTAGGTGCAGAACCTAGTCTGCATCAAGAAAGCAACTACCTGTTTTGCTGCCCCTGGAATAGTTTGACGGGATTGGTTTTATTTAATGCCTAGCTAGCAGAGGCTCTACATGTACATGCTAATGACCCAATCCAGCTGTACTATACTTATGAACAACTTCGGAACAACTGGAGCTGATCCTGAGTCATGTTTACACTGCTTCATATTTGTACTGCAGTGGGTCTGTGTTAGAGATAAACCAACTGACTACACTTACAGGAATTGTTTGTTTCCCTTGCACACAGAAATCTCATTACAAACTACAGGATGCTCATTTCTATGCAGCCATTATTTGTAAAGGCTCATAACAACAGCAGCAAAATATGCCCAACTAAGTGACTGTAAGGGTAAAGCAGTGTGAATGACTATTCCAAAATGCTAAGAAATTAACTAAAACGAAAATACACTTTTTTGTGTCTTCCTTTAAAAATATCTTTTCAACAAATTACTTTAAAATTGAATTTGCTGTTCACAAGTGTATTCCACTTTCCTAGGACAATTGACTTTTAAACAGCTCATTTCTTGTTTCTATGCCATAGCACAATACTGCAAAAGTTTTGATTGCTCAAATATATCCATTTAAATCCAAGCATTTCAAATAGAATAACATATGTTTCTAACTTAAAAAAAAACCCCAAAACCAAACCCAAACAAAATCCACAAGAGTTAATTAAGCAAGTCTAATATTGAGCCCAAGTCATAGGCAAAACTAAATCTCATTAGAAGTCTGTAACAAGCATTCACTGAACTTGCAAATTTGCATGAGCAGTCACACACATCCAAAATTCCCTCTAGCACTGTATTATTTTTAGCCCCATGATTCCAAATAAAGCAGGCACAAACTCTTAAAAAGAAAATCTTTATTCTACATCCTTTTCCTTCTAAAGCACGCACGTAGATGGCCGCTTAACAGAAACCATACACAGTCATGCGTATTTTTAAAAGTCCTTTTTAAGATAAGAGATGTAGCATAATGTATAGAAGTTGCACTCATACCTCTGAACTAACGCTATGACAGAGGTTTTCAGTGTTTACTGATCTTATTTTGGAAGTTTTAACGCTTTCAAAACTTATGTGTCTGCTGTTCCTGGCTATTTTATCACCTGTGACTTCTGCTCACTTTATCAGACAGATAAGACACAGAAACAGCAGCCACTGCCCTGTATAGGGTAATGTCCTAACATATCTCAATAGAGTTTTCCTGTCTATTGGGAAAAAAAACCCCAAAAGCAAACACACAACCCCCACCCTGCACAACATCACCCCAAAGCAAAAAACCCTCCAGTATCACCACAGACCACCATTTACCAAATTTCACTTTTTGGAATTGAAGCAGTCATTAGGTACAATTATATTTTGCCATTATTAATTTCCATTTTTTTTTTCTTTTCTTTGTTCTTTTTAACATTTTTAATTAAATGGATCAGATTGTGGTTTTCAATCAGCTATTTTAAATAAGTCCACTCACGGGCTGGTGATTGCCTTCCAATTTTTAGCCCAGATGGGACTTCTGTGGCTGAGTTACAAACCCCTGAATAGAAGGGTTCAAATACTAAACCGTGATGTGAACTATGACTGTTCAATCTAGTCATAAGCCTGTACTGATCTCAGCAATACAGTAACATAATAGAGGAATAAGGCATGTGAAAGAGAAAATAGCAGTCACTGAATAGACTAGACTCCAGTATGTTTGCATTCAACTCTAAGACCCACTTAGCTGATTAGCTGCTCCCTCTCCTCCTCTTTTTACCTCCAGCCGGGAAGAGGATAAATGGAGAAGTCACCTCACCTCTGTGAAGCGGTAAGCCTCAGCTAGTACAGCGGCCCCAGAAAGCTCAGCTGACTTGTGCTGATAGAACAGTACTTTGACTGATACAAAACCATGGTGCAGGAGGAAGGTGTGGATGGAAAATTACCCCGAGGACATGGTCTGTCCAGGAAGAGCATGCCTTGCCTCCTGGGTAGCTCTGAGAGAAGCTCAGCTGATTATAGTACCTGATGAGAGCAAGATGTTGCACAGCTGGGAAATCCATCTTTACAGTAGAAAATTATTGGCCATGAACAATTTAAGACTGGCATCAACAGTCACGCCTCCAGTATGAGCAGCAACGTACATGAGATGGTGGTCTCAGGAATTCAGGGCACAGGTATTTCAAAGATGAATGTTCAAAATACTTTGGCAGGCAGGCAGAATGCAGAGGACTGGCTGCACGGGTGGGATAATGTTTTCCTGTGCTCCCCGAATGCCAAGGCAAAGATCACCGAGTGACAGCTAATCAGCAGCAGCAAAGGAAAGCTTGTCCTCCGGAAACTGGCTTCAAAACCTTCCCTGCACCTCAGCCCCTCACTGCTTAGATGAGTACCCGTAGAAGCAGAAGCCTTTTTTTTTTTTTTCTTTTAGTTGTACTACTGTGCTGGTATGCTGTGGCACAGCAGCCCCTACGTATCTCCCATAAGGTTTGGTTTGTCACTGATTTCTCAACTACAGGTATTTATTAGTGGATACTATTAAAACGTTTCTCTAAATGCCAGGTTCTCCTGGTTTATATTGAACATTAAAGTTAGTGACCCACTGGGAATTGTTTCCAAAATAGTGTTTGTATTTGTATTACCTTCAAGGCTATCCAAGTAAGCTTAGGGAGAAACAGAAAAATACATAGTTAATGTTAGTTCTGCAAATAAAGAATGAAAAAATTAAAAAACCAAACCATCTTCTTTCAAAAAGAAGCGATTCCAGACAAAGCAGCTTGTCAAGCCGTTTTTGAAAGGAATTAAGCTTCCCTATTACAGGAAGTATCACTCCAGAATAGCAGCCATGTGACAGGTTGAATGTGAATCATGATGCAGTCACCTAACACTAGAAAGGCTTCCCAAATAAATGTTTTTGAAGGTTGTAAAAGAGCACAGACATCTTGCATTTCACTTTACGTAACAAAAGAAGCGATTCCAGACAAAGCAGCTTGTCAAGCCGTTTTTGAAAGGAATTAAGCTTCCCTATTACAGGAAGTATCACTCCAGAATAGCAGCCATGTGACAGGTTGAATGTGAATCATGATGCAGTCACCTAACACTAGAAAGGCTTCCCAAATAAATGTTTTTGAAGGTTGTAAAAGAGCACAGACATCTTGCCTTTCACTTTACGTAACATGCCACCAGGCACCAGACAGCTTGAGTCTAGCAGAGTACAGTAAAAAGAGGGACATGGGCTCAAGTCGTCGTGTCCCTCCCCCCCCCCCAAAAAAAACCCCCCCAAACCCAAAACCCCCCAAAAACCAAAAAGGAAAAAGTATCTTCTTTTTCTGGGGTTGAGAACTCAGCCTAAAAGCATGTCTCCAGCTAGAACCTGGAGAACAGTCTCAGTCCTGGAACAAGTGGCATCAAGCTACAACACGTGACTTCCCATAGTTTAAAAGTTTAGTATGTGCAAAATAAAACAACCTATTTTTCATCTTTTCCTTTATCAAAGGCAAAACCAACTTCAATTTCACAATGAAATTTGGCAAGCAACTAGTCAGAGAATAGTCTCACCAGGCTATAGCATGCATAAAGGCCAATATGGAATACATCATTGCCCTCTCATAGCAAAAATACAAGTTATCATCACAAACAAAACCCTTTCAAGGATTCCCTCCAAAATTAAGATTCAGGACACGAATTTTCTTCCCTTTTCAATTTTGCCTGAGCAGGGTATTTCATCACTACATGATGAAAGGCATACAAGAGGAACAGTGGGATAATTCCCATTACAAAGGGCTGTGTTCATGGCACTTACGTGCGTTTCATAAAATTTCACTTCCTTGATTACCTGTTTGTATTTTCGGTAGCAACGCTGAATAACAGCAGCAGCCACCTCTTGCTGTTCCCGGAGAGGACGACCCTATGTGGAAAAGGAAAGAAGCAATAAGTAGTCAGAGCGCACCAAAAAATGGGACAGATGATGTTAAGTGGCTCACAGCAGCTTGCAGGGCCCCTACTTCGAAATCTCTCCTATCAGTGCTACCCGGTCTGATTCAGGTCTAGGCATTTCCTGGAGATCTCTCTACTGTCAACTCATGTAAGGGACAAACCCTCATAATTGATCTTTACACCAAGCAGGCAACTAACCAGAACCTTTGGGGTATATTTTGAGGATATGCTTTGTGAGTGCTGTTCCGGCACAGAAGGCATGCTATGGCATGGCATACTCTCTCCAGTATGGTAGTTGCTGGGTAAACATCAACAAGCAAATGCTAGAAGCATTGAAAATCTTATGGCAGAAACTGTATTTTTGTCCCAGAAGTGGGTATTACCCACATTTTGTTTTTTAACAAATTACACTCTAACACCTAACAAGGAAGACATTGGACGTTTTGGCCACATACCTTGTATTTCCTGAACACTGTCTGGACAAGTTTGGCAGCTTCATAGAGTTCTCTCTGCTCATGATCAGACAGAGTTAACTGTGCAAACTCATTTTCTACCTTCTCGCTGGTGGATGCACTCAGAAATTCAGACCAGTCTGCTGCCGAGGGAAGGCTGGGTTTCTCAAAAGCTATTTCACTGATTGGTGAGCCTGCAGGGCTCAAGCTGGTGTTCGAAGAAGGGGTCAGGGGTTCACTATACAGACTTCTGAAATACCAATCACAGTAGGAATTATTGGCTCACAAAGCACCTGAGCTGGCATCACAGATAAGGACTACAACATTTCTCAGTTCAAGGCAGAAGCTCATGCTCCCCTCCTTCTCTCCAACCAACATCCCACATTCCTGAGCCTGCCTGTACCACATTGCACAGACTTGGCACTGGAAGAGAAGTCACAAGTCAGACCTTGTGGCCACTTTCCCCTCCTGCTGCATGCATTCCCATTCTTCCACAAATTTGTAGCTGTGCTGGCAACAATACATTTGACCACCAGAGTGTGGCTGGGCTTGGAACACCAGCATTGAGTCCCACTGAGAAAGAGCATCTGCAGGCTAAAGAATCAGTGCATGCTGCCCAGCATTCAGACCACTCAAACCCAGAGCAACTTCACAGCTCTTCCTGACCTTATCTGTGCAGCACTTGGCAGATGATCGACATCAGCAAGGTAACTGGCCAGCCAGCTCATTGTGGTGCTCATGGCAGCACTGTCCGTTCTCTCCACCAGCGGTGACTCCATGGGCACAAAATTCTCCCGCTTGATCCTGTCAGGCGTAGCTTCAATAATGTGCTCTGCAAGTGTCATCATGTTCACCTGGGAAGGGGGAGAGGAGAGCAAACTTTTGCCGCCTGGTAGCAGGAGCCTTGTGCTTGTGTGTTACAGCCCAGCTTTAGACAGATTGCCTGATTTTCCTCAAACTTATGATAGCTGAAGTCTACTGTTTGTCTCAGCATCAGAGAGAAATTCATTAACCAAAGCTCATTTGCTTTTCTGTCTCTTCTGACAAAGCACTGCAGGTTTTCACATTCCCCAGACCTCTTTTTCATTGAGTGTATGGGGAGCCTAAGAGATCTGGTGAAAGGTTTATGTCATTGGACGTAGCTGTATGCTACTGGCAGCTGTCACTACTATCTTGTTTCCAAAGGAAAAGTGACCTTGCCGCTCTTTCGCTGAGATGTGCAGTAGAGCATGACAGCACAATAAAGGCACATTAAGAGAAGTTAAAACCCTTGGGACCACAGCTTTGTCTGGAATCCTTCTGAACCATATCCCCCCACCTGCCAAGGTTCACAGGAATTTTTAATACAGAGAACAGAAAACAGTTCTTTTTTTCCCAAAGATCTGCTTCATCTGTGTTACGCCAGCAAGATGAGAATATTTAGAGATGCCAAGGCAGTGCAGGTAGGCTGTGCTCCCATTATTCTTTTTGCTCAGAAGACCAAATGCAGTGTCTTTTCCCCAGTGACTACTGCTCATCTGTCTGTCCTGCTTCTGCTGGGTTTTTATTTCCTCTATTCCATACCCGGTGGGATTTTTCCTTCCCCAAACCCACTCTCTCTCCCCTTCTTCACTCTTATCTCCTTGCCCTTTGAAGTGCAGTGGCTTGACCTGCAACCACAGCACTGCCTCTCTCAAGTCACCTTGTCTTTGCAGGGACTGCTTCCCACTTCCCAAAGAAACAGGGGACCACCTTATTCTCATTTACTAATGTGACCAGGAGGCTCTGCTTTTTTCCTTTTTCCTTGCAAAATTGCAAACAATTTTGTGCATTCTGTACACTGTTGAAACGTATGCCAGTGCATGACCCTAAATGCTAACCATCAGCCTTTGCGTCCAGGTTGAAAGGATACCCTTTAAAACCAGAAGAAAGTATACATTGGCCATATGACCACCTCCTTTCACAAAGCACAATTCAGAGTCTCTAAAGGCCTCCACAGAAGTTTCTCACAGTTAGGCTCCTCTGTGCAGCCACCGTGCTCTCTGAGACTGCTGATCTTGGTGCTACGGGTACGTTTACCTGCAAGTCATCCATGTGGTGTAAGCAGTCCTCATCCCCTGCATTGTCCCTATAGGATAAGAGCTCTGCATCCACCATCTCCCTGTCAGCCATCATCAGCACGTTCATCTGCTCTCGCTGGCGTAGCCGATGGGCTACAGCGTCCTTCCCCAGCGCAGCCCCTTTCTGGCTCCCCACCACCTGCACTGCTGACACACCAATATAAATGTCCTTTGGGTTCCATTTGATGCCTGCTTGGTTGCTAGAGCCCCGGTACCCAGTAACTTCTGGGATGTGCTGGGAGAGCTCCCGGCCATAGTCCCTTATCCCTTCACTGGGGCTGATTGTCTCAGTGGCGGATTGCTTGGAGCTGGAGTTCTGCTTCCTGATGCTTGGCTGTTCCAGGCTCAGCGCAGTGGAAAGCAGCTTCTCTTGCCGGGCTTGAAAATATTCAGGGCTCAGCTTATGTTTTTTGGGTGCAGGGTAATCTTTCTGAGTCTCACTACTGTAGTAACTGGAAGGTTCCGATCTTGGTCGTCTCAGCTCTGCAAACAAACAGATCAATGGTCAAAACAGAATAGGCAACCCATGACCGCTGTAGGAACTACAACAGCTTCTGCTGCAGAGTGGCAGGTGGAAGTTTGTGCCATGATCTAGGACATCCAACAATATGTGCAGAGGGAGTAACTATCACCCAGGGAGGATACTACCTCAACCACTCTTAAGATACACACATCTTTCTAAAGCAGGCATTCACTCCTCTTCCCAATACTTACACAAGTGCATGGAGCATGTGACAGAGCCCACAAGTCAAGAATTAAGCATGGACAGCAGGGCTACAGGTGGCATCTGCCACCCAGGTGAGCTCCTTGCCCCCAGGTTTTCACATATCAAATGTCAGCAAAGCAGCGCATGCCCTCAGGGTTGTTTTACCTGTGTTTGTACTGGAAATCACAGTGACTCCCTTCTGAGGCTCCTGAGAGGCAATAAGCTCACTGTGCCACTGGGACACCCAGTTCTCTGTGTTGGAGTCTGTGCTCGAGGGGCACTGAATCCTAGGGTTTTGCCCAAGCTGAGTTTGCTCATCTCGCTGTAGCTGCTCCAAGCACTCTGCCAACTTCACATGGCCCCGAGACCGGGCAATGGCCAGTGGCAGTCTCCCAAGAGAGTCAGGAATAGAGATGGCTCGGCGGTCCCACTTGTACAGCACAACAGCTGCATCCATGTGGCCCAGGGCACATGCCCACATCTAAAAAAGAAAAGACAACTGACCCATTGGGCAACCTGCCTTCTCCTCCTTTTCTTGCTAATGCAGGGGAGTCTGGTCCCTAGTCCACAGAAAAATGACTCTGATAAGAAAAACCATAACATGCTTGAACCCCAGCAACTAGCTTTTATAAATGTCCTATCCCAACAAAAGGCCATTACAGAGGATTAGATGCATGCTATTCTCTCCTATGACAGAGAAACCTTCACCTGCCAAATGAAGCTGACAGTTTGACAGTTTCTTATTTAGTAATAAACATTTTTTGGTTTTTTTGGGTTTGGCTTTTTCTTTTCCTCACACTGGCATCACTGCAGAGACATAACAGCCTCATGCGCAAAGGAATCTCTGAGATCAGAAACACGCAGACAGGACTAACAGTTGGGAATAATAAAATCAACACTCTGCTGTTGTAAACTGGCACTTCTGGTTCCACCTGCTTTGGCTCTTTGCTTGTCTAAGTTCTCAGTCTCGATTTCATGATTCCAATGACCAAGATATTGCAACGACTTTACAACTGCTACAGTCAGTCAGTCAAAGAGAACAACTTGAAAGAAGGGATGTAAAGCCCTTTCCCCCGCACAACAGTGGAGACTAGATTTTGGGTAAAACACAAACCAGAAACACCTCTCTGTCCTTTTTCCTCATGTTACTCAATGACAAGTTTTCTTCTGTGTGGTCTCTCTCAACAAAATGCCAGGAAGCTGATAGTGCTGTGTCTTACCATTTACACAGCAAGGACACACAAGAAACATCTACTCTTCAGAGTGTGAAACACATTAGGAAAATAACACTTCAAGAAGAACTCCAGAGGGTCCTCAGACTCTCTCAGAAGTTTCAGTCTCTGCTCTTACCAGAGGAGTGCAGGAGAAATGATCCACATTCAAAGGGTCAACTTCCAGCTCCAGATCAATGCTGTCTGCGTGTTTGGTGCTGCAGAGGAAACAATAGAACAAATGATGCTCTGTAGCCATGTTAGGATCATTGCCTAAATGCACAGCTTTACCCAATGCGCCATACCACAAAGAAGTGGCCATGCATATGCCCATGACACACACATGTACTACAGATGGTGCCCCCACTGGAGACTTTAAGAGCATGGTACATCCAGTGATTGGACTCGCTCTCTCAAGAGACAGATCCCTTCAGATCAGGGGACAGGAACAAGTTCAGGGACTTGGCTGTTTGTAAGGGACAACCAGAAATCTGGACCAAGCAGAGCTTACATACGCTTCTGCCATGCCTGTATTGACACCCAAGAGTCCAACGGGCTGGGTCTTACCGCCATTTGATGAGGGTCTGGATCAGTGTAGCATAGCCCTGGGCAGCAGCTAGGTGGAGCAGTGTCATTCCTCGGAAAGTCTTTGAATGGATCAAGTGTTTGGACTTTGCCCAGCAAGCACGACTCATCATCTTCTCGCACACCACCACCACGCGGCTCTCAAAGCAGCTGCCCAGTGTCCCAGTCCCAGAAACGCACTGAAACACCACACACATCCCAGTTTAACCACTGAGGGGAGCTGCAACCTGCCCTGAGCAGGCACCTTCCGCTTCTAGAAGTACTGAGACAGTGGCAAATGCGAGTGAAAGCCAACTGCTGTTAAAGACACCCACAAACCAGACTTCTTGTTCAGGAAAAATTATAATCCTTTCCAACCCCCCAAAAAACAAACTCTGGTAAGAAAGCATAAAACTGCCGTGTCTGGACACAGCGGGGTTCATACCTGCACCTGCGTTCCTCCGTTCCCACTCCCACTGCTCCCGCCTCCTACTCCTTGTTTGTGCTGCTGGGAGCCTGTCATTTCAGCCATTCTCCTCTCCATCTGCTCAAGTCGCTCCAATATTGACATCCTGAACTGGTTATCTAGGTTGGAGAAAGCCAGAATAAGGATCTCACCATGGAAAGAAAGCTCAGGTTTTGGCAGCCTAGTGCAGGAAGCCACAAACAACTATACTGGAAGTCACACAGGAGATTTGCTTGGCTTGGCAATGCACAGGGACACTTGCCCTGCAGCATCCTAGCTCTTCAAGTTCCTGCAGCATCCCTTTGACTGCAATTCCAGAAAACTTCCTTAAAGAAAACAGACAGAAAAATGAAAAATGCAGGCAGAAGATGGATCCCTTCCATTGTGATTCTAGCTGTATCCACACAATAAAGGACTGGGGTAATGCAACTTCTTTCAAAACGCAAGTAAACCCTAAGCAAATATAACCAGACAGCATTTCAATAGGATCGTATCTGTCAAAATACTCTCCATTTCAGAATAAATACCCCTACTTTACAAGAGTCCTGAATTCAGCTTGGCTTGCCTCCTGAAACCATGCAATAATGGCACCTGGAGGAAAAAGACTCCTTTGCTTCCTTCTGTGCTTAGAAAAAGGAGCCTTTAAAAAGGCACTTGCTCCTTCCCTGACAGGCTCAATTTCTTGGAAAAGAACTTCAGCCAAGTGCCAGAAACAGAACTACCAGAAATCACAGAGTATGGACACTGATGATCCAGTAACATAATTCTGAAAAGCAATACAACTCTTGAGCCCTCTGGTCTCTGCAGAAGTCTAAAGGCTGTATTAGTTATTTTCTCCTCCTTGCATTGTAACCTAGCACTATGATACAGCTACTAATGTTTGAATAGTGGAGCAGGGAGATTTAGATAGGTTAATGGGACGCTGCTAAACCTGATGGTGTAGAGATCAACTCAAGCAATCTTTTTGTGTTTAGGGCCAGTCAGTGCAGCTTGAGTGGCTGCAAACACAGAGGGCTCTTTCTGTCTTGTGACCCATAAGGGAGAAACTTCATGCAGCTCGTGAAGCTGGGCAGGATAATTTTGTGGATAGGGAACATTTAATGAATCTTGCTATCATGTTAACAGCGTATATAATAAATTGTGGGGAAAAGACAACCCTCATACTGTTTGGTTTCATATATCCATGGCGATGATGTGGTGGTGCAGAGCACCGACAACCCCAGAACAAAGCCCACTGACAACAATAAGAATCTGTGCATCAAAATGAACAAGCTCTGATCAGGTTTTAAAAGAGAAAGTCTTCTCTGAGTGACCTGGTTACATGCAGGGTCCTCCCTGGAAGGTTGCAGGAGTACTCGTATACCACAATCTGCAAGGCACAACTCTCACTGGAGGGTATTAGAAAGATACGTATCTCTCTGCTGTACTGCACTGAAGACCATATTGCAGACCACTGATAAGAAACAGCTCAGGTCCACTGGCTAAAGACATCCCCCTCTCCCTCTGAAGCTGCTGTGGTTTGACAGTAGACAAGAGCTCTGCTCCCTTCTGGCCCAGCTCCAGCAGGTTGTAATGCAGCATCCCACTCTGGTTGCTCAAGAGCCAGGGACAAAGGAGTGCAGCCAGCACCAACCCTCTAACCTCATTTCAGAGGTGAGCTCACTACGGTCTTTTCTCACCTAGTCCAAAACACTATTACTTGTTATTAGCGCCTTATTAATAATTCAGTTGTCCTGTTAATTGCAAAGCCTCTGGGAAAGTGACTGACAGTTACATGAGGAAATATTCATAACACAGATGCCATCTCAGAGCTCTGCCTCTGAACTGTGGTCAGCACACAGCAGCAACACAAGTTGTGTTTTCCCAGCAAGTCTTTGTTCCAGGAGTGCTGCAGTGTGCTGCAGTGCAGTCCGTGTCGCTGTCTCCTCCTCCCCCCCCATTGCCAGGCGGAGCACGTACGCTGCAGAGACTGACAGAGACCTGGCACTGCTGAGCCATCCCCTCTCACCGCAGGCCTGTGCCAAACAGAGCTACTACAACTCAGGCACCAGGAAAAGGGGCCACGTTTGCCATGGAGGTTAACGGCTCCATTCTGCACGTTTAATGCCACTCTCTCTAGTTCAGTGGCCAGCACTTGCATTTTATTAGAGCTAAGAGTAGCAACACACACTGGCTATCGTACCTGAGCCTTCAACCTCGTATGTGCAAAAGTGGCATCTTTTTAAAAGGAGAAGAAATTTGGCATGAACCAGTGCCATAGAACACCAAGCCCAGGGCTGCAACAAACTGGGGATTTGCTCCTACCCATTTAGCTGTCAAAAGAGAATAATTATTCTGTACAGCCAGAAACAGCAGGAGAAAATGATTCCAGTGAGATGCAGCAGTACACTGCAGGTTACCCCCCCCCCCCCCCCCCCCCACCTCCCACCCACCCCTCCATACCACA